AAAATAGACCAGGACACCAGTAGCGAAGGCGGCCCCAAAAGTCTTTCCTAGTTAACTATTTATGATATTTTTTTATTTAAGAAAAAAAAGGTACTATTTGCTTAATCGGTGGTTAGTGCCACGTATTGATTAAACCGAAGACTGACTGCCGACAGAAAAACAAGAAGAAACCTCTAGTTTTTGCGACCATAAAGTCATGTATTATGCAATCGAAAAAGAAAATAGAATGAAACTATGAAAAGTTTTATAAAAATCAGTTACATGTTTAGCTTCAATCCAAACCGGAACCTCCAGCCAACAAGGGCAATTCAGGATCAAATCATAACTTCTAGAAAAAAAAAAAAAAAAAAAAAGGGTCAAATCATAATAAACCTTTTATTTTTCTGAAGCAAACACGATTCATGCTCACCTTTAAATTATATGTTTCCAATTTTCACTTATTTAACGCGTTAGTGTATATATATAAGAATCCTTCCTGCCATCCACTTATTCATCATCTTATTTAGCATTTTGGCGAAGAGAAATTCTTCAAAAGCAACGTCAAAAGTAGCAAGGCAGGCGCTTTAATTAAAAAAATAAATAAACAAATAAGTAGCAAAGCAATACGTCCTGCCATCCACTAATTTTAACCAAACAAAATACTCTGATTAATACAATACAAAAAATAAAAAATAAAAAATAAAAAATAAAAAACTTGAAAAAAGTAAAAAACTACCATGTCCAAAGAAGGAAATACTTGTAACATCCCCCACTTTAAAACTCAAGCTATAACTGTTTTGTTTTTGATAGACAAGATTGACTGCTTCTTATCTTTCAATCTTGAAAATCTTTTAACTAACACTATGTAATTGTGAGGTAAATGTCATCACGTATATGGCAGAGCATAAATAAATGTCATTATCTTTTGGGCAATCACGTGTTATAACTGATACCACTAACATACGCAATGGTTGGATTATATATGATGAAAAACACTAGTCTTTTGGTTCAATTATAACCATCTCTAAAACAAATACAAGGCGACGTAAAAAGGCCACAAATACAAGCACGATAAGCTTTACATATGTGACATATCGCTGCGCCTCAAACAAGGAAACAAAGCTGTCAGGAAAATTTTTCACTTTGCTGAAACATGAATTCATCATGAGAGAAAGCAAAATACGTAGAAATAATTCCTCAATGTGGGCCTTCGAGAAGAAGCTGAAAGGGTTCGTATGGGCCTCAGTTTTGTTGGTTATGACATGACATCTACGGCTTTCGCTTCAATCAACAATGGCAAGACCATCTGGGCTGTAAAGGGCCCATTTCGATCAGAAAATTTTTAGATGTAATTAGGTAAAATACCTATTTTACCTATTTTTGAAGTTGTAATTATAAAAATACCAACTCTTGTGCAATATTATAAAAATATAAACTTTATTTATATAAGGTTTCTTTTTTCCCCGATTTGCCCTATAGAGTATTTTAGGAATGTTACTTTTATGATTCTTTTCCCTTTTTTTGTTCCCATTTTTTTCATTAAATTGACCGGATTTGATTTATTTGTACTCAAAATCATTTTTTATTCATTCTGATATGTTTTCTTCATGGTTTATCTTTTCCCTCTTTTTTTCATTTTGAATTGATTTGTTTCTGGCAACCATTTTCACGTGTGGGTTTTTCGACAACCATCTTCTTCCGTTTCTGGCAACCTCTTTCATTCGTTTCTGGCAACCATTTCTGAGTTCTTTGACGTTTATATTTTTTAAAGGCAGGCAAACGTGTGGGTGGTTTAAAGGTGTTGTTTTTGAGATTTTCACACGAAAGAATTGTTCCATCACACGAAGAGAGCGTTTGTTTTTAATTTGGTTTTCATCATTTTACTTCTTCTCATATCGTCTGTTTTTTCTTGTTATATTTTCTCTTTTTTGTACTAGTTGTTCTTTATAATTATTTAATGGTTTTGTATATTCATCTTAATTAGTCATATATTCCCTATCTTAATGATTATAACATCAGTCCAATAAAATTTGTGTGTGAGTTTGAATATTTATATGTTATAGTCATATATTCATAATGAATATAGTATTAGTCTAATAAAATTAGAGTACATATTTATTGTAGTTTATGTATCTTAGTCATGTAGTCCTTATCGTCATGATTTTATCATTTAGTGTAATGAAAATTGCGTTTTGGATTTGTGTTTTGGTATTTAAATGTTTTCTTCTCTGAACTAATGAATTATGCCACGTATTTGATTTGTGGTTTCGTGTATTCAATTAAATTAGTGATATATTCCCTATCTTAATGATTATGACATTATTCCGATGAGAATTGTGTGTGGGTATGGATATTTATCTGTTGCACTCGTATATTATGTATCTTATATATTCTCTATCGTAATGATTTTAGTATTAGTCTAATGAGAATGGCAGTATTTATATGTTGCAGGTATATATTATGTATTGATGAAGAGGTTATTTACCGACAAATCAAATACTTTTGAGTTTAAATATTTGTGAGTTTTCAAGTATTTTTGTTAATTTGATGTGTTTTTGTGTGTTTTTTAGGAATCATTAATAAATGAGAAATTATGTGAAAACAAGGAAAAATTGGAGTTTTGGAAGCTATCGGGATGAGCCACAGACAAAGGCAAGGACTCGCGCAAACCGCCGCGCCAAATAGGGCGAAAAACGCCCAAGAACAGCCCTGGGTAGGGACTGGAGGGCGCATGCACGTGCCAGCAGTGCGCCCACGCGGGCCTTGTAGCAGGCCAGACATTGCAGAGCGCGCCCAGCTCGCAGGCAGCGCACAACTGCACCATTCCTTGTGCTGAAACGAGTATTTTGGGCCTTTTTGGCCCTTAATCAATGTTGGGAGGTCATTTTTGACCCTTGGATGAGTGTGTTGAGATTTTCTTCATGTGTGAGCATATTTAAACAACAACAAAAATCCTAGTTCCCAACTTGGAGATGAGGGAGAGGCACAAAAATTCCTAGAGAGAGAAGCTTGGAGTTGGAGATTCTTGAAGCATGCTTGAGAGAGATTCTTGAAGATTTGAAGACTTGAAGACTTGAAGCTCATCTCCACGAAAGTTTTCTCTTTCTTCTCCTTTTTTGTTGTAGTTTTTTAGTTTTTGTTCTTAAATTTGTGATTTTGGTTATGGATTCCTTTATTTGAGCTAGACTTCATATTCTAGGACTTGATGTTCTCTATGCTTAATGTTTCTAATTTATGTTGGCCAATGAGTTAGATAATTTTATATTGTGATTTTGATGTTCGGAAGAGATTGATTTCATAGTCTGGAATTTAAAAACATAGTCTAAGTTGTTGTGAGTTGGGGAGGAGATCTACACTTAGATAATCTCATTGAGAGTCTAGGATATTGTGAGACCGGGAGGTGATCAAGACCTTAATTATCAACTAGGAATTCGATTGTTGTGAGGCCGGAAGGCGATCGGTATTTGATTTTCAATTTAAGGGTTAAACTTGATGAATGTATGAGTAAACGGGTTAGATATGAATATTGATTCGAACATTCATGCATATGACTTCGCTTGACGCTTGCGAGAGGTAACGAGGTTAGATTAAGTCCATTGATTAATGAATTGAGTGGAATTGGCTAGCAATAGTTTGATAGGATGAACATAGAAATGATAAGGTGAAGTCAAGTCGCTAGTACATTTGTGCATAGAAGTTTCCATATTTTATTTCATTATTATATTTATATTTGTTATAGTTCTATTTTTATTTCATTTAGTTCGGTTGCCTAGATAAAATTGAATTATGATAATCACGGTAGTTAGCAACAATTTAATACCCAATCCCTATGAAGACGATACTCACTCACTTTATACTATCAAAACTTGACACCGTACGTTTACTGGCAAACATGTATCTTAGTCATATATTCCATATCGTCATGATTTTATCATTAGTCTAATGAATTTGGCGTTTTGGCTTTGCGTTTTGCTTTTAAAATGATTTTTTCTTTAAAGTAATGAAAGTAATATTGTGTTTTGCATATTTATGTGTAGACATATATTCTGTATCATAATGATTTTAACATTATACTAGAGGAAAAAATTTGTGGTTTTTAAATTTGTGATTTTATTCTGTCAAAATATTACACATCCGGTCTTTAAATGTATCGAGTCTTTCCTTTTGTTTTGTTTTGGTTTTATTTATTTATTTTATTTATTTTTATTTTTTTATCATTGCACATTCGGTTTCATTAAATGATAAAATCATTTAATAATCGGTGTTGACTTTATATTAAGGAAACTGGGAAAATGAATATATCTATAGCAGGATCCATTTTCTTATTAAACTTGTTCTTAATTTTTTTTTTCCTTTTTTTTTTTCATTATATGAGGATATAATAATCTTAATACATGTGATAGTAAAGATTTTTGCAAATAAACAAAAAAGTAGGTATTTTTTAAAACATGACACCTAAAATGGGCATTTATGTAATTAACTTAAATTTTTTTAAAAATACCCTTAAAATAGTTAAGAAGTAGTGTTTTTTAAAATGAATTTTTTTAACAAGTTAGATATTTAAATGGGTAGAATTTATAATTTTCTGAATCCTCCTCAGAAGCTAGCTGGGCCTATTGATGTGTGTAGTGTTTTTTAAAATGAATTTTTTAACAAGTTAGATATTTAAATGGATAGAATTTGTAATTTTATCAATCCTCCTCAGAAGCTAGCTGGGCCTATTGACGTGTACGGATGCCATCTTTTTAAAAAAAAATATATATTATTTACTTCTATCTTTTCTTTCAGTCTGATATTTAGGTGGGGTGAGGGAAGCGTGGTTTCATTCTTTAGACGGCGAACCAATGAAATTTGGCAACTACAAAAATATCAAGATCCATTACGCTCAGAGTGGGCACCTCTAATCACATCCATGTCGCTTGTGCCAATAATGAACGGAATTACATAACAAAGTGGACGAAACATCTTTTTTCTATCGTTTCAATTGTACGAAAATGTTCTAATGGAAGTAACTAGAGGAGGAAAAAAAGTAAAATTGTCATTTAAGCATGGCAACGGAAACGTACCAAAAAAGCATTTGCAATCCTGATTGCATTGTGGAGGATCTTTTACACTTGATGAGATACTTGTGAAGTTGTACCTGGTTGCATAGCAAAAGCGTTGACAAGGAATGAGATCCATGGTTGCATTTCTAGTAATATTTGTTTTATCCGAGTACGATGAGCTGGTGATAAGATCTTTCTTTAAATGCTTGATTGAAATGAGGAATATTTAAGTGGATGAACTACCAAGGCCTTCCTTCGATTTTTGACACGGTACAAACACTGCTTGAATCATATGTGCTTTTGTGCGCAATGTGGTATCAAAGTCATGCGTGTAAACTTTTTATTAGATGGGGCAACACGTCCCAGATATTTTCTCTACTAGAGTGAAAAACTACTACCGCATGTGCTAATAAACAATAAGTTAGATAATTCAGTAGGCCCCATCGAAGTTGTCCTTGTCCGTTTACACACACAAAAAAAAAAAAAAAAAAAAAAAAAAAAAAAAAAAAAAAAAAAAAAAAACTATAGCATTCTACACAAGGTACAACATCAATTTCTTATCCAAAGTAATCGTTATGCAAGAATATTTTCAGTCAAAAAGATGCCAGTTCATTTTTGCTATGCAGAGTAAGGATAAATGAATTCCATACATTGCGGTTGCACTGTAAAGCATTATGTTATTATTCTAATTTATTAAACATCCAAACATACTTTGAAAAGTATCATTTATCTCAGTATCAGAAACTTTGAGCTCTGTAGGAGTCTGTATAGCAGGAACTATGAACTGTACCTTCAATTTATAATTATGGTATTACAGCATTGTCTCTTTCGCCTCCTTGCTTTCCTCAAAATCCTTTTTGTTTCTTCCTCTACCTCATCAATCAAATAGTTACCTAAATCTTTCAAAGAAAAAAGAAAAAAAAAAATAGAGCAATGGTACATGCATGAAGACGTATACCAAGCTTTCAATATGTTCTGTAACTGCTGCCGATATTAAACACACAAAGATGTCTCACAGGTGAAACAAAGTACAAAATCTAGAAATTTTTACATAAATTTATTTTTCTGGGATTTATTTAGATGGCTGAATACGTTTTACTAAAGCGAATACTTTTCCAGTTTATGCCAAAAGCTACAAGAGTGGGATTTAATTAATACTTGCAGTAGCATAATCAACTGGTATTAAAAAGTCGCCAATAATGTCGACTAAATAGAAAATGATCCCATTTGGTTCCTTAATCTAGAGTTTGAACTCCCTAGTCCCTTCATATCTGAACTCTCGAAAGTAATGGTAACTCTGTTGTTGACTTCTAAACAATTAATACCTCTTGAACAATAAAAAACTTGATGAGATACGATTAAAATGTGCGTGTCAAATACGAAGTTTAAAACATAGACATGAGAGATTTTATTATTCTATAGTAAGAAAAATTTTATTCTACTTTCACCCAGTACCTGGTTTATTCTCTTTGAGCAAGCAGGAAAAAACTCCATCAATCTCCTCGTCCGATTCAATGATAACTCTGCATTCTCTTCCCTGCATCATAAGATGTCATTTCAGATGGGCAGTTCTAATAAACATACATTGTAGTCCAAATGAGCAAGCACAAAACTTTCCATGCAGAGAAGCAAAAACTAACAATTTCCTTCTGGATGGAAGAAACTCCTTTTTGGTTAGGAACCTTGTTGGACGCCTTATGTGTGGAAGCAGATTTGCCTGATTTTACTGATTTCCAGCCTCCCGTTTCTATCTTGGGAACTACAGTTGCTTGTACACAAACCTTTGGAGGCACGGCTGAACTGAAATCAGTAAAAGGATTTTTAATCTCCTGAAATACTGAAGGAAATGAGCCTGATATAACCTGATAGAAGCTAAGAAAACGAACATAGGAGTGTTTGTTTATTATGCGGCTGACCAAGTTGAAGATGCAATAAGGTTAGTAACTAGCCCGAATTTATCTTGTTTTAGTTGCACGAATATATTTGATATCAAATCTAAAAAGCTTCCATTACTATTCTTCTTCGACTGGAAAAGAGTTAAATGTTAAAAAAAAAAAAAAAAAAAAAAACCAGAAGTCATTAAACAGAATCTGTCCCTCAAAACAAAAATGAAATGAGATTTTATTTTATTTTTTTATTTTTTCTGGTAAAACTTGGAAGATGTAGAAACTGCCATGCCATGTGATCAGACGTGAGATACAAGGATAAAGTGAGGATATGAGATATAAGTTATAGAATACGCACAGTGAAAATGATATCAATGAGAGCTCAATGCAAACAGCCTCAATTGCAATCTACAGGCTTAGATTATTGTGCCTCCTGAGTCCTATCCTCCCAAGGTCCAGGCATGGAAGGAAACGACCTAGTGGCTAAGCTTTTAATGACACATATCTTCAATCCGTGGTGCTTATGGAAATGGCCTCATTATTGGTTTTTTGAGGAATAGTATTATTCACCCATCAAAATAACATACTTAAAAAAAGAACTTCACATACTCAGTAATCGGCTGTGGCTTTTCTTCTGGAGCGGAATAACTGCTATTAACCTGCAAAATTTCAGTTGCAAAACGTTTTCTCAGAGATCATTCATCATGTTAGTGCGGTTAGGAATGAGTTAATGAAAATCTCAAAAATAGAGCACCTTGGGTGGAAGAATAGATGGCACTTGGTCTTTCCGCTTAGGGATCCTCAGGCTGCAAGCACTTGCCTGTATGTAGACAAATGAGGATAGAACAAAACGAAATTCAACAAGCTGAGAGTGATGGCTAATAGAAAGTTCACATCAATCAATATGGATATAAAATGGTTTGAGCATTTTTATGTCAACTGAAGAAAGTTGTGAAAGTACTAGCTCTAGCTATTCTCGAATAATACAAGTAACAAAAATCTACTCGCTAAAACTTTGCAATGCTTTCATGTATTCGCTGATTATTCTTTGTGATATTATTATACCTGTATGTCCTTGGTGAAAGAGTTATGAAGCTCAGTGCGTGATTTCTGTATAGATGCTTCTAACTTCTCTGGTGATGCTTCTAACTTCTCTGGTAAGGCTGAAAGCACGGACAAAATCTCCTGAAACTTGTCTTGATATGTATGCTTGTTCACTTGTTCGAATATAGATTTGAAGCCCCCATCAAGGCTAGCTTTCATATCTTCTTGTTCCTTGCTCTAGTTTGCCATAAGTCCATGGTGTTAGAAAGTCCTCATTTAAGATTGCAGACTTAAATACAGAATGCAAGAAGAGGCATTGCATGTGTACGCTTACCATCAACTGCAGCGAGTTCTCTTGAACCACCAATTTTTGCCGTATTCCAACAGCTGAACATAAATTGAGAAAGAAATTGGATAAGCTGACTAACTTCATAACTGTTAACGTTTGTGTACAATTCAGGCCTTCGCCAAACATATCCTTCCTCTACAAGGAATTTCATGTCAGTCCTACTATTAAACTGAGATAATTACACTAAGAAGTTGAGCATGTCTACTGTTAAAGATTTTGTAGCAGAATTGGATCAACCCATCAACATCTTAAAGATGGTTTTAATTGTATTTCTATGCAATGGAATCTCTTGGACTTGTGATCCGAAATAAAACTAATCGGAATACAAGGCTTTGCTTAATGTAATTTTTGGACTTAATTTAAATGTAAAGTCAATACTAAAATTTAGGATTACAAGCATACGCATCTAACAAGTTGTGTTTACAAAGTAGAACAATTTAACTTCTTTATTAACTCTTAAACAACATTACTTGCAATATAACTTGGAAATTTCTCATAGCAAAGAAACTTACTTTTGATATAAGAGATCTAGTTTAATTTTAAGATATTAAACTAAATTTAAACGAGATACCTAGTTTTGATTCGATTTTTACATTTATTTCACACTTTATAGATAAAAGTCTCAAAATTTCTTATTGAGATAGCATGGTATGGCAATTGCAAAGTTTTTTTTCCCTCTTAAGCTCTTACACGTTTATACAATCAGCAAATAGATTACTCACTTTCCATTAAAACTTCCTTTGTCCCTTTGTTCACTTGAATGACATCGCTCTGAACAGAATCTAGAATCATTCCAAACCTATTCAATGAAGTTTCCATTAATCCAATTCGGTGTTCAAGTTCTTCACTAGTCTGACCTGCTCAACAAATAAAAAATTGTTCCTCACTGATGTGTGTAATAACACATGAAAGGACAATATTAACTAAAGAAAGCAGATTTAAAATGCCCTTTGCACATATAGGAGTGAACTTACATCTATTCTCTGAAAGAGAAGTAGAACCCCATTTGCGCATTAGGTTGGTGGAAGATCTTGATATATGCATTTGACTCTCTTCACGGGTGTGAGAGGTTGGGGGCAAGCAAAATGTCTTCTTCACAGGGTTCTCTCGTTCTTGAGATCTCTGTGTAGAGAATCGAAACCAACAGAAATGCAAAAAGATAAATACAGTATCAAAATTTACTCATGCATTAGGAACAAACTATCTAATGCTTCATATTTGCAATTTTTTGGTAGCCATATTGATGCAATAACCAGTGTGAGCATGTAAAATTAAGCTGGAAAACAATTTCCGTTTATGTATTTAATCAGTTCCGGACGTGTCATCTATAACTGCTTATCTGAGTTCTAGCCAAAAAAGAGAGGTTGATCTGGAGAGTTCATGATGACAGTAATACCAATAATATTATATTTGCTATTCTTGCGTTGGAATTGGTGTACTATATCATGTAATACTAAATATTACACGGAAAAGATGGCTATGACTTCAAACAAAAAGATAAAAGACCATACAGCCTGTTAAATAAATAAAATCCAAAATACAAAGAGAAAATCGACTGCTTATGCAATTTATAAGCCCTACATTTCCTTCGGTGACTAAGCAAATGAAAGGAAGAGCAAATCGCTCAAAGAATTATGTACCAATAAGTAAACAATGACGATCCATGTTAAAAAAAAAAAAAAAAAAAAACAACGATGATCCAGAAAGAAACTTAAAAAATTAACCTATTTGAAATAAAATAGTTAAGTCAAGATCCATAAAACTTGAAACTTTGATTTTTATTTTTTCCTTTCTGTCCAATTTATTCATAACAACCAGAAGAAGGATTGAGAACTGAAACGTCAAAGAAGCAACAAGAGGTAACCTGATCATTTATCAGAGCCTCATCCAGCGAGGTTTGAGAGATCTGAGACAACGTGCCGTGTTGAGAAGAGAACCCCTGAGACATTGATTGCTGTGACGCCTGTGATCGTAGCTGTGATGTTTGCGTTCCAGGTGCATAAGGTACACCATTGTTTCTCCTTCAGAGATTCCAAATTAACATGAACGGGTAAAGAACTAGATATCACAGAAAATTTACTATGCTAACCTCATCAAATTATGGATCTACGAGTCCTAAATGCTACAAATTATTCCATGCGCATTTCTGTTTCCTTTTGTTTTGCAATATTTTCCAAAAAGTATGAGAATGTATTGGAGTTGAAGAGAGTTTGATCTAGAATAAATGCATACGATAATGATAACAGCATCAAAACGTAAAAACTAAATAAGGAATCAGATTCAGGAAACTCAAGTATAGCCGAATGTTCATTTCCAGACATTTCGAATTTTCTAAGCTCTTTTTTTTTTCTTTGTTTTTTTTGTTTTTTTTGTTTTTTTTTTGGCAGTTTTAGTCGATTGCATGAAGAAAAGACAGAGATCAAGTTGAGTCAAACACATCTAAGAGAAAGTGATAATAGACTCAAAGGAGTAGTAAATTTCCTTAATACCATAAACCTAAACGTAAAATTTTATTTTCATCTACAATTTCCTGCATTTTCTCGGGAATCAAACAGAAAATTTCTTGCAGAATTGAGGAACTCGCATGAAGAAGATTCAAAATCGAGACTAGCACGATTCTCAAAATACAGACGGAGAAGATCATCAAGCGAGATTGAGCCATAAAACCTCTCGATGAAAATTGATTTTACGAAACCTTTCAACTGCGCCAAAATTTTCACGTTTTTTTTTTTCCTCGGGAGCCAAAAGGACAAGTCGCGATTAGGAAAAAGAAGACAATATCAATCAAATATCGAGGAAATCGAAAATGAACCTCGCTTGAGGAGGAAAGACCGAGATGGAGTTGAGATCGGAGGCCTTGTTGATCTTCAACTTCATTTGCAGCCTTTGAATTGCGATCTTGAGGTTTCTGGGCAGAAATTTGACAAATTCAGAATGCGAAAGTTTCGAAATCTCTTAGATTAGAACAGAGGCGGTTCTAACGCTCTGAAATTTGCTGAGTCTGAAGAGAGAGAGAAATAGAGAAAGTGAAGTCGATCTAACGATCTGAAATCTAGTTAGTTAGTATGAAGAGAGAGAGAGAGAGAGAGAGAAGGATAATGAGCAGAGGAGAGAAGAAGTATGCGTTTGAGCTATATGTATAGGGGGAAGTATGGCGGGAAGCCGGGATATAGTTATAGAGCATGGATTTCAAAGAATTTTTTTTTTCCTTTTCCTTTTTGCTTAATTTCAATTTTGGACGCCAAAAAAATATTAAGGGCCCGTTTGGTTTAATAGGTTCAACTAAAGATTAAAAACTCAACATTTTTATTGAAATTTATGTAGAAATTTTTGTGTTTTAGAAATACTAATATATAAATAAATAGAGGTGTAATTTTTTTTCCTCAGAATATCATGAAATTTTTACAGAAATTTTCTTAAATATTAGTATTCTTACGGAAAAATTCATTTCTAAAAAGAAAAATATAATATTAAATAACTGAATATTATAGAAATTTTATGGAAATTTCATAAAAATATCGCTAAAATTTTAACGAAAATTTATGTAACTTTATATATATATATATATATATATTTTCAGTTTATTTAAAAAAAATGTAAAAGTTATATTCTTTTTTACTTTTTCTTTATCGGAACTTGGCCTTTCTTTTTTTACTTTTATTTTTTACTTAATTTGTGAAAGTGTACTTAACATTTATGATAATGATCACACTTTATTATGTATATTTATTAAATAATTAGTATTTTAATTGAGAATTTCATCTAATTAATATATTGTTATCTGTTTTAGGATTTTTTAATGTCTCATTTGAAAATAAAGTGTTTTAGTATGAATTTCTGTTTTTTACGTTGATTCACACTGATATCGATATTTTCTGTTGATATTTCTGTAAAATTTAAGTGTTGATATTTCTGTATATATCAATATTTTTATCTTTGGGTTCAACTTAGTGATGTTGATTCTAAATTTAAATTTTGTAAGAGAACTCATTGGCATGAACTTTTTTTATTTATTATTTTAGAGAAAATACTGTAGCAGAATTATAATCATGAATTTAAACGTGTGAACTAAACATGCATTAATTGTCTAATTTTATCCTTAAACTTTTAAATGGCACACTATTGGCATCCAAGCTTAACACATGTTGCACAAATGGTATCCTTGTGATAGAAACATTAAGGCCATGTTCATTTTACCGATTCGAGTTTTGTTACAGTAAAAAACTTTAAAATATAATCACATTTAATTTTTTTGCTACAGTAAAAAATTCTCACATAAAATCACATCTCAACTCGAATTAACGAACTAAACGGGCTCAAAATAATGGATGGAATTGGAAAGGAGTACACGCACTTGAGGGTAACTTGGTAAAATAATGATAAATTAAGGCTTAGTTTGGTACTGCTTTTTCATCTCAAAATCAGCTTCTGCTTGTAGCAGAAGTTGATTTTAGTGTTTAGTAAATTTCTTCAAAAGCGCTTTTTGAAGAATTTTTCAAGAATCTACAGTCAAAATCAGAAGCAGTCTAAAGACAACTTTAGCTTTTAGATTGTGCGAGAATCAGCGTAATACAATTAATGAAACTTTCATAATACCCATAATACCCTGAATGAAATTTAAAATTTATAACCTTCCCAATTTAAAATTCAGACTCATATAATATAATATAATATTGTAATAAATAATATTATAATTATATTAATAACTCTAATATTATTATTTTATCATATAATATGATATTATAATAATATTATAATTATTTTAATAATATGATATTATAATTATAATATGATATTGTAATTATTATTTTATAATATATTATATATTATATTGTATTGATATAATTATATTTATTATAATAATAATTAAATATTAATATAATCTTATAATTCTAATATTATTATTTATTATAGTGTATTACACAACATTATGGTTATATAATATATTAATTATAATATATTTGTTTAATATAATATAATAATAATTATATAATATAATATAATATAGTTGTAATTTTTAATTTTATTATAATTGAAATATTAATATTTATTATGTAATATTATAATATTGTAATTATATTAACCATTTTAATAATATTATTATATTCTAAATTATTTCAGTTACTATTTGAATAATATTATTATATTCTATATCATAATTATATAATATATTATATAATAATATTTTTTTATTATATTAAATATAATAATAAATATATTTTATATTGTAATTATATATATTATATTATAGTATGATATAATATAGTTATACTTTTTAACTATCTACAGCAATTCAACCTCATAATTTACCAAACGCTATTACGCTGATTTTGGAACCAGCACATCTACTATAATTATAGTTTACCAAACACTCAGCTGCTTTTTGTAACAGTTGCTTCTTCTTTCAGTACAGTTAAAAGTAATTTTTCTAAAATCTACAGTACTACCAAACTAAGCCTAAGTCGAACACGACTTTTATAAGGCACTTGTTCATTCATATCACTTATTAGAAACTCAGAAACACGCCACTTTTATGTAGCGAAAAGATAATTTTGCCCAAAAAGACCTACATAGATCTTTCGCTTTCATCCCTCTCTTCTTCACAACCCCGATGCAGCCCCCTCTCCATCGAGCGGTAGCGCCGTTTGTTGAAGATCTCTCTTATTTCTTCTCTCTCTCTCTCTCTCTAACCGGGACAACCTTTTTTCCATCAACGGTGACGAACCTTCATCAGTGAGATCTCCCCGCGCGACAACACTGCAGATCCGGCGTCCCTCCCAGCAAGAATTTTCTGTAGGTTCCCTCTCCGGCGTGACGTTGTTGCAGATTTGACAGGGGAAATGACTCCCTCCCATGTTCATCAAGGAGAGAGAGGAAAGAGGTGTTGATCTCCAGTGATGTCAGTATTGATCTTCGGATATCCTGCAATGGCTTGACGGTGGGGGTTCCAAATGGTTCTACAACGGGCTGGCATTGGAGCTGTGATAGGGCGGCAACGACAGGATGCTGCTACGAGAGAAGAGAAGGAGAGAGAATTTTTTTTCCTTCGCGTGTAGCATGTCAAATATACTGTAATTCAAGTCACGATTTAAATTGTTTTATTAAGATTTGATTCATTTTATCGATTTAAGTTGTTTTCCTAAGATTTTATTCATTTTATCGATTTAAGTTTAAAATTTAAATTTTGTTATAGTAAAAAGTTTTTAAAAACAGTTATATTTAACTTTTTTACTACAATATAAAACTTTGACATAAAATCACATCTCAACTCGAATTAACGAACTAAACATGTCTTAAAGTGTTTTTTCTCACATAAACAACTCAAATTAAGAACTTAAATTGTAAAACAAATCGGTCCCTAATTTATCATTCATAAATTATCTCATTTATTCTTTTTAGTATATTATCGAGGTTTATTAATAAATAACTTTAATATATCAATAATAAATTAGAGTTTATTATTAATAATTCAATTTATTTATGATAAATTCAATTAATTCCATGATTCTATTTTAGGTTAACTTTGTTTTTTTATCCTTTAAAACTTGTATTTTTTAAACTTTCTCATAAAAGTGGTATAATAGAATAGCAAACGAAGGAAGGGGATATATCAAATTCACCCATGAGTAGTTGATTGGGTAGATGAATTGGGCCACGGGGTTATTCCACATTGACAAAGAGGGTCAAAATAAGGGCGAGAAGTAGATCTGGTGTAATAAGATGAAACCCGACTATTCTTCTCCATAAAATCGTTGCTCTTGCAGGAATCCTTTTAACATTTTTGTGGGGAAAGAATAAATTTCTCATATTTTCTCCTTCTTCCATCAACAATGCATTTTAGGGATTTAGGAATTTTACCTCGAAATTATTTAATGCGGGTAAAGTGTACTAACAACAATGTTTTTAACAACACCAAATGACCACGGTCCATGTACACCAAACATTCTCCATCTGTCCATTTTTTTCTATTGTTTTTTGTCACAGACGTACCATCACATATTATGCTACTTGAAAGTTTAGGGATGAAGTGAGACAACTAGTACTCTTCGAGGATCACAATTAAAATTAACCCTTGTTTTTCTAAAGAAATGGTTTTGTTACGTTGTGTAGTTAATGAATGGTGTGAATGTTATTAATTAAAATATTTCTTTGATTACAGCCTATAGACGATCCTTATATAAGCAAAAATATTGAAATAAATAGCGCGTTTAGAACTCGTTTCAAAATGATTTTATTTTTTTTATATGAAAATGAAAATGAAAACGTTTTCAATCTCAGATATAAATCATTTTTAAAAATGCGTTTGGTAGTTTTATCAAGAGATTGTTTTCAATGTAAAAAAATTCATTAATGTCTATCTTTCTCTCTCTGCTCAAGAGAGGAGAAAATAAAAACAAAAAATGAAAAACGACTAAAAGTCGTTTTTCATTTCTCTCTCATTTTACACTAAACTAAAAAATTATTTTCATTTTCATTTTTTGTCTTTATTACGCCAAACGCTGTTTTGGAAACGTTTTCATTTTTTTCTCAAAAAACGTGAAAAATAAAAACGAGATCAATTCCAAACACGGCCAAAAATTTTATAAGAAAATTGCTCAACTTACTTAGACTTTGAGTCTGAATTTTTACCTTTTAATTTTCATCAAGATGGTTATTTGACTAAAAAGGATATTAATAAAAAATAAGCGATAAAAATCTAGATCCACACACTTTAAAGAGTATTTATCTCATTTTCTCAAATTTTATACATGTTCTAACATTACATTGTTATCGATGTTCGTCTTCAAGCCTCAAATGCTTGTTCTATGAATCTATCTTCCCACTTTAAAAGTTTTGAGCACATTTTTAAGTATCTCCACCAATGTTGAGTTTCTAAA